GTGGTGTAAACACCTTGGAGCTTATCCTCTGTGGTGAGCAATCACCAGGGGTTCCCAAACAGTTCCACTGGCAACTTCCCGCTTCTGGTCCAGAGCCCAGTTTCTTGCAGATGAATGTGTCAGGCTTGTAAACACTAAGCACTGCAGTCTGGTGGGGTGGCGAGCCGTATTCTGGGCACTGCTGTGCTGTGTCTTGGTGTGGCTTTCACCTAACAGCATTTCACCGTAGCTGCCACCCAGGTGGGGTTTGTCCTGCTTCCCACGGCAATAAATGAGCTACAAATTCCGAACAAGGGTATCCCTGGATGTAGGATATGCTGCCATCCAAAGTTTGTGGCTTATGGTGGCTCTTCTGCAGTCTCTTAGACTTTGTCTTCTGAGGTGTCTCTCTCTCCTGTTTTTCCAGCCACTTGTGAAAATCTGATTGATTCCTTCCAATCTACTACTGAGAGCATCAGTATAGAGGAGGAACACCTCCGAGACCGAGCAAAGCGCCACAAAACAGCTCCAAAAAGCTGCTGGGAATAGGGGAAACCCCTGCAACTGAGGATCCCCCCTGCAAGGAAGCTGTTTGGTGCTACTGTGGTCCCCCCTTGAGCAGTGAGGGGTGCTTTAAGGAGGGGTGGCTGTAACAAAACTCAGCCAAATGGTGGAAACATGATCGACTCCTCGATTAATGTGATTAGAGCCAACAGCCGTTATGTGGAACACTTGCTCCTGCCCTGCATGCAGCTGCATATTCCAGTGTGACTATTTATGGGCCCGGCTCCAGTGGGATTTATGGATGGTGAAGCACTACCAGTGGATTCTGTTACTGCCCGAGATCACTGCAAACACTGCCATGAACTGCGATGGCTGCAAAACGAGCGTTTTGCAAGGGCTGCCTGTTCAGACACGTGTTGTGCCAGGGAGAAATTCCCCAGCCCTGAGGAGATGGAGTTCAATGGCTCCCCGCAGCTGCGCTCCTTCTGCCCTTCTTGAGGCTTGCAGGTTGCTTTTAGTGCTGCCTCTGTATTTTCTCCATTGCTGGCTGCCTTCCTTGCTGCAGAGGAAGCAGAGCAGAGTGCTGTCATCCCCAGGCTTCAAGGGCAGCCATTAGTTGCAGGATCTATTGCACCTTTGGCCAAATTTGTCTTTCACTTGCGCGGGGACGTGGAGGGGGTGCATGGTGTCTGAAGGGGAAGAGCTGCAAGGTGTCCCATCTAGCACAAAGGGTCACAAAACCAAATGGCTCTTGTGCCTCTGGAGTTGAGGGCTACATAAAAAAGTGACTTTCCCTGGGCTACCCAAGAGCTGAATCCCAGCTCTCTGGAGGTGCCATTGAGCCATGAGGGTGTGGGCATGTGGTGGGCAGCTGCAGGGTGGCTGCTGCTGTCAGGCAGCGTTGCCACCTGCTGGGGGCACAGCCCCTTCTCGGGCACCTCCACCCACCCTTCAGCAAGGGCTGTCCCCAGGCCAGCTCCCCTGCCAGGGGCAAGCCTTAGCTGGCTGTCAGCATGTTTCCTTAGGGCTTTATTTTGGGCAGATCTGCTGCCTCCTGCTCTGATTGATTTTTGTCTTCAGACGAGAAGAGTTGTAACTCCTGGGGTTCAGATTTCCTGGTTGGGGTACTGGCCTTCTGTTCAGGTTTCTGTCGCAGGTGCAGCTAAAGGGATGAAGGGGACACTTTAGCCAAAAGGCTCAGCTGTTCTGGGCAGGAAGATGTGAGGAACCTGTGTTATTCTTCCCAATGTAAAAAAAAAATTGGAAAAAATAAAATCTCTTGCAACAAATCAACTGTATATGCTGGGACCTTGCTGGCCTGGAGCAGGGCTTGTGGTCTCACTGGGACCAGCCACATTCCCTTGAGTGTTACCATCCAAAAAAAACCACTCAAATTTGGCCAAGGTATTGCACTTTAGTGGAAAAACCTGAACAAAATAAGAGGGGAACAGGGAAAGGTGAGAATACTGGTGCAGAAGGATGGAAGTCAGATGAGATGCTGGAGAGAAGTGAGGTCTGGATGGATAACTTGGGTAAATGAAGCCCTTCACCAGCAGCTTTGTGCCCCACATAGCTGCTTCTCCCACAGCTGCTTTTGTTGTATCACAAGTGGGACATGCAACCTGAATTCTCCACCTTGCCCAGCTCTGTGCCTGTCAGGAGCAACGTCCGCACTGGGGGCAGGAGGCCAGGGTGGGGTTTGTGGAGGCAGAGGTGCTTGTCTGCTGTGCTTTTTCCCTATCAACAGAGGGTGTCTGCCATGCTGCAGCCAGCATGCAGTGGTTGCAAAGTGAAACCAGCATGCATTAAATGGCTGCAGTGGTAGCTCAAACTGATTTCTCAGCTGGTGCTGTAGGTGCTGATAACCACTCATGGTGGGGCTTGTTTGGCAATACAGTGTTAGCCACAGATTTAGCATCAGTGCTGATCGCAGTCTGTGGGCACCTGAACAGTTAACATGGAGGAATGGGGAATGAAGGAAGTTGGGTAGAGGCAGCAATAACACATCTGTCCCCTTGCACTGTCCCTGTCACCTCCTTCACAGTTTGGCTGCTGTCAGCTTGTGAGAGCTGAAGCCACAGCAGGCCCCTGGGGGAGACACACACCTGCAAATGATGCTGTAGGCTGGACAGTCATAGCCTCCCGGCACCCAGCTCCTCCATCCACTAGGCAGGAGGGTGTTTTGGGAGGATCCACATCCTTTCTGGTGGCCAGTGCTGTGCACACGTGTATTTTGGTGCACTTAAGACCAACCTACAGGACTGTGGTCTCCAAGGGAAGCCACAGCAGGCAGGACATGGCCTTGGATGAAGCCAGTGCTGCAAACGGATGTCCTGGGAGAACAGCACAGCCTCTGAGGGAAAGCACAGGACTGGCCTTGATGGATTGGAGATAGGGGAAAATGTGAAATACTCTTAATGCTCGGGGTGGGTGGGAGGCCAGTGAGCCTCCAGGAGCCACCAGAGCAGCTGTTGTGGCATATCTTGATCTCTTCAGACATGAATCCTGGTCACATAGCGAGGGGTAAAAATAGCCTAAAGCTTGTTTGTTTCAGCGTTTTTATTAAACAGTGTTCCACTTGGCAGTTGTACACCAGGCCCCGACGATCCCCTGATCAGTGTATGAACCCTGGGACGTGGTGCTGCCACGACACTAGGCTGCATGAACCATCTCCTTTACAGAGGCAGTGCTCAGGAGAGACCCGGGCTCAGAGCAGTGTCCCTACACCGCCATCACACCAGCCGAGCTGGGAGGCAACTTACAGCAGGCCTCTCGTGCAGGATTTTCCCCAAGTCGAGTCTGTTTTGCCTGTGGTGGTAATTGTTGACTGATGTCTCCTGTCCTTATCTTAATGCATAAGCCTTCTATTTCCTCTCCCCTGTCTGTCTGAGAAGAGAAGTGATAGAATGGCTTTGGTGGGCACCTGGCATCCACCCCGGGTCAGCTCACCACAGGGTGTCCCTGCCCATGGAAGGGGGGTTAGAACTAGATGGTCTTTGAGGTCCCTTCCAACCCAAACCGTTCTATGATTTCACTCCCAAGCTGTTTATTAGCTGAATCCTGCTCTAAGGGCTGTGCCTCCTTCTCTCCAGTCACCTCCCTGTGTTGGTTAGGTGTCCTGAATGATAGGGATGACCACTGCCAAGTCTGCAGGAGCTTGAGGCTTCTGACAGCGATGCCCAGCCTAAAGCAGATGAGCTTCTCTGTGCTCCAGGCTGTCTTTTGATGAACTTCCAGAAACACGTGGTGGCAGCAGGAGGCCCAGCTTTGAGGAAACAAGCAGCCTTCCAGGAATGGTTTCCACTCCTTGCTGGAGCAGCCCATCTAGGAGGTTCTTGCGGGTCTGCCCGTGCCGCTGTGGCTAGGCTGCCCTGTGTTCAGACACGTGTGAGCCAGCTGTGTTAGTGTGCCTGCTTCGCTATTGCTGGTGCAGCAGCGTGCACTGGCGTGGAGGCTGCTGCGCTGCCCTGCAGCTGCTCACCTGCTCTTAGGCGGCCTGAGGCACTCACCAACTGGGCCCTTGAAAGATCAAAACCCACATCCACTCTGTGCAGGCTGAGAAGCTGCTCCCAAACAGCAGGAAAAGGTACTGTGTCAGTAACTTTCACTGCACTCGGCGTTTAGCTCGTGCTCAGTGCTAAGAAAGTGGTTTACAGGGTCAGGTCCCTGATTGCTGCAAATCAGCGGCGCATCAGCTACAGATGGAAAAGCAGATTTACCCCTGGCAAGTATCTGGTCTGCTCGACAGGCCAAAGTGATTTAACCTAGGGCAGGTTTTCCAGCTGGTACGTGTGTGGTTGCACATCCAACTACACCAAGCAGTAACAAGGTCAAGCAGTGACTCAAACTATCCAGGCTCAGGGAGGCTTATAAAACAGAGCATGTAAGCAACATCTACACAGGTAACGGGTTAAACACTGACAGAACTCAGTGGGATACAATTCTTTTCCCATACTGCTGCTGGTGGGCCTGGCACCACCTAACACCTATAATATTTATACACAGTTTTAAAGAAAGACTGCCAAATAAACTTTCAAAGCTGGACAGAAGAGACCACACCAGCAAGCGTGCTTTGCTCGCTTTGAGACTGGAGTTCTCTGTTAGATGATCAATGGAGTTTTGCGAGGTTTAGCATAAGATGGCAAATAAGCACAAAAGCTAGTGGGGTATTTGTCTGTCACTGGAAAAAAATGCACAAAAGAGCTGTATGTAGCCTTTGCTTTTAAAGCAGGCAGGTGGAAATTCAGGACAAGGCTTTGGCATGTCAGTTCCAGCTGTGCCACTTGCAATCTGACATTAAAAAAACATCTATAAAGACTCCACAGTCCATCACATTCACTTTGTGTGGAGCAGCCCAGCTACTGTCCTGCCTGCTCCTGGGTGCTCAGAAAGAAAACACTTAAAAGCAACTTGCAGGGCAACAGTCTTTCACTTTTTCATCTTTTGTTTTCCAAGGGCAACTAAATTCCTGCAACTACTTGTCAGCATGAAAAAAAAAAAAATTAAATGGCCAGTTACATTCAATAGAAAACTTTCTCTGAGGAAATAGGATACAGAAAATAGCAAAACTCTATAGCCAACAAAATACTGTACATTTTCTCCCTGCTCCCACCTGCAGCCCTGCATTTTTAAGAGACACCAGCAAAATCTGCGTTTTTTTAAATTGAAACAGTGCAATGAGATGGCTAGAAATATTAGAGAACTTGGCATGCCCTCAGGAGGATGGATTTACGTTCAGTTAGGTGAACAACAATGAGTTTGGGAGAAGGAGAAGGCAGCTTCAAACTGCTTTTCCAAGTGCGGACGGGTTCAGGCAGGAAAATGCCAAACTCGGATTTAGAGTTCAAACGCGGGGAACTTGGCCTTGGTTGGCACCAGCAGGTCAGCAAGAAAGTATATCGTCCCGGCCATTCCTGAGGGTAAGAAAACACAATGTGCTTCAGAGAGATTACCTTTGGGCCACACACTTTAATTTTCTATCAATTATCCGGGAGGTGAATGAGTCATGAAGAGAGAAGAAAGGAAAACGTTTTCAGAAGGACCTGAATCATTTCCACGGTCTGAACCCAGGTTTGCCAAGCAACTTAGGTGCTTCAGTGGGGAAAGTGTTTTGAAGTTAATCAGATGTTGAAAAGCACCTGGGAAAACAGGATGGGTCTTTCCCCCTCCAGCTCCCTCCCTCTGTTCTACCTGTGCACAGGTTTAACGATGGGAATACCTTTGCTGCTGCTGCAACTGCCCTTGTTCCCAGGCCTGCAGCAAAGCTAGCAAGGTTTATTGCAAAGCAGCAGTACCTGCTGATGGCAGATTTTGGGGGAATTGTTAGCAGGAGTCACAATGTGCCCCAGGAGGCCTACAAAACCAGCCCTGTTTGCTCCTCGCTCACCTTTGGAATGGAACTGGAAAGCCCATGAAGGAACTTAACCCTTAAAAATGCACAGAAGAGAGGCTGTCTGAGGAGCCGGGCTACAAATTACTGTAAGGGAGCCTTTGGCCTGTGCCTATGAAAGAATTCCCCTTGAGACCTGTGTGCAGAATCCGTGTGGGAGGCCCAAGAGTATGAGATGCTCCAGCTAAGATAGCCTGTGCTACAAGACAACTGCTTCTGGGAAAGGGTAAAAACAGTGAATATAGTTTCCTTCCGACACTCTACACTGAGTTTTGCAATGACTTCAGCAGAGTGTGTATTTGGTTTCCCTTGGTGCTGGAGTAGCTGAGGTCCAGGAGCAAAACACAAGCATAGAGACAGAGGTTACCTTCAAAGAGAGAGAATGGTGTGTCTGGAGTCCGGCACCCATGTTGACCATAGCTTAAACACCACTCTGCAAACTGAGAAAAGAGGAACAAGAAGTGTTCAAATTTTGTTAAAAACAGCTCTTAAAAAAAAAAAATAAAATACCACCCTCATCCTCATGTTACCCCTTGCAGAGCAAGGCTTCTGCAGGACACCCCTTCTGCACAGGCTGTCAGGCAGTGACTGCACTGCTGAAGGACTATACTCGTGGGGCTGGTCAGATGCAGCTGCGTCTCTGCCACACTAGAAATTAGGTTCCAAAGGCAAAGGTGGCGATATGAAACGCAGAAATGAACAATCCTTAGGCAGGCTCTCACCTTGCAGGCCCTGTACAGGTATTTCATGTTCTGCGTGAGGTTGTACAGTGCTAGGAAGGCGTAAGCATTGCCGGCTGTCCCGTGGCACAGCCCGTAGCCCTTCTTCAGTAGCCCATGCTGCCAGATCACTTCTGCACACTGCAGGGCATCGTTTAGGTACTGCTGTTCCCCAAAGACCTGCAGAGACAAGAAATATTCCCTCTTGCTGAGGCAATTTCCTCCACGCAGAGAGCATCCCTGCATGGGCGGGGAGGTTAATGAGTTTCCTACTGGAGTTTTAATGCTGTGACTTTGCTGCCTGCTTTAAAGGAGGATGTTTTTGATGTGATGAATGGGGCTGTATGACCATTACTTTGCACACAACTAGTTGTCACCATCAGCCACCTGCAGCAGGACACCCCACGCAGCTGATGGGTATTTTCAGAAATAGTTTTTTAAAAGAGTCATTTCTGTTTCTGTTTGCTGTCCCTGTCGGGTGATTTCATTGCAAAAAGCTACCCTACTCTCAGGCAGGGAGGGTCTCAATAGAGTCTTCTTCACGATGAAATTCCACATTTAGGGGTCCCCAAAGGGTCTTTGCAAGTACCTTGTAGGCCTGGACAAGCATGTAGATAACACCTGGTGCCCCATGGCACCAGTGGACAAGCAGGTCTCTGGTGTCATCGATGCATGGGGGGTAATTGCCGGATGGGAACTTGAGCTGGCATACGTAGTCCACGCTGGCTTTGACTGTGCTGTGCAGTTTTACTTGGCTCACTCCAAGACCAGGCTAAGAGAGAAAGAAAGTGTTAAATCAGGGAGAATTAACCACCCTCCTCTCCCAAAAAGGCCCAAGACCTGTCTGAAAGGCAGAAACAAATCCAGCTATGGTGTTCCCTCCTGCTCCCTGTAAATTAAGTGATTTCTTTAGCCCAGGCTTTCGCAAATCACAAATACCCACTCGGCCCCAGGCTGCAGGCTGCTCTGCCCTTTGGCAGCGACTTATTTCCAGTCATACCCTTACGTCCCCAGAAACAGAGGCTGCCCCTAGCATGTCACCTGGCCCTCTAAGCAAGAGGGCTTGCTGCTTCTTTTCCTGAAGATGAGTAGGAATAGTTTCAGGTACCCAGAGCTGGAGTAAAGAGAGAAACTGTATAAAAACAGTATTAAGGATGAATACCAGGAATGATTCCTAGTCATTCCATACTAGGAATGATGACCTGGAGCATCTCTGCTCTGAGCTGCTGGTCCGGCCCAGCTGGCGGGCAGTGACGCTGCGTTTTCATAGATGTTTCTGAGTAATTGCAAGAGGGTGACTTCACTGCTGACCTCAGACAGCAGCAAGGGAGTGGCTTCAGTGTCTTCTTCCCATGACGCTGCCCCACACGAAATCTGTGCAGTTCTAACTTCCCACAGCAGACTGCAATGAGCACTCTCATCTAAGGACCAGGCTGATCCCACGCTGATAACTTGAAAATTAAAAATCAATACTTGTACTATAAACCCATTAGAGATAAAAGGCCAATGTTCTCTCTGAATTTCCCTTGTTTGCTTCCCCCAAGGCTTTTTGTGCATCATGCTTGGCTGATCCAGCCTTCTCGTACTTCACACGGCAGAGCAGCATGAAGCCCACGCAGTATTTTATGGGAGACTTACACTTAAAATTCTTTAAAACATCAGGCTGGGAACAAGCTCAGGGACTCGGTACAAATTTGGGCTCACAGCATGCTGCTGTCTCCCCTGCTCCCAACTAGCTGTTCTGCACTCCTGGGCAACAATCATCACGCATCCTCCTCTTGCCAAATCTCCTTCTGCTTAAAAACTCCAACCCCCCCTTCCTCTCCGAGCCACATAAGAGGGTTATGTTCACAGGAGCTCTGCTTATCCTGTACATGGGCTTGAACTTTTGAAGGTCCCAAGGGAAAGCTCAAATACCCAAAACCTGGTGGCTTTTTTCCCACCTGCTGTGAGACTTGGGTCTAATAAAAGATACCACCCATTTCTACAAGCATTACTATGTTAAACTAATATGTGTTGCTCAGTGGGTGCCCTTAATGCTTTGAAAATGCAATGTTATTTATTGCTGTTATTTTTCTAAGAGCTTAAGCACTGTAAATATATGCACAAAGCAACCCACATAGGGGAATTATCACCCTCATTTCAGAGCCGGAGAAGGGAATGTTTCCAGAGCCCCAGTGAGTTGTGCAAAATTGTGAGAAAGACCACATTAAAGCAAAGGGGCACTGCAGCTCCCAACCTCTTGTCTTGCCCTGCCCACTTCAGGCACTACGGAGCTCAGCGGCTTTATTAAAGTAAAAAGTCCCAGCCACCTCTTTCACATTTAGATGTAGGCCCTGATTTGGAAACGAAGGCATCTCCCACTTTCCTACTATGAACACAATCTCTTTCACCATGCTTTTCTTAGAGATTCTTACTCTGTAATGATCTGGGATTGCTCCAAGTAACAACCTCAAAAACTGCAGGAAACCTGCAGACACCAAGAAATGGGAATGCTTTATCAGCAATTAGCACAAGAGGGGGAAGCTCAGCCCCAGCTGACCTCCAGGCCTCCATCACATGAGACTGCTGGTATAATGCAAGTCACATTTATCTACAGACCTCCACGGAGGTGGGAAATTCAATCTCACAGACTCGGAGAAAACCTTTAGAAGTGGAGATGCATGATCGAACACAGGAGTAAGTCTATCAGACAAAGGATCTCGCCCAGCTTGACATCACCAAGAGCCAATTCAAATGCTTCTCCTTGTTAAAAGAAATGTGAAACAACCACTAAAGGGCCCTCCTCTCCAGTGCCTCTCACCTGCATGAGATAGTAGTAAATCCCAGCCAAGCCATGGGCTGCTCCAACGTAGTACTCCTGGTACCACTCATACATCAGTGGGCTCTTTGCTGTGAAGTTCCTCCTTTTGGCCAAGCTCTCTCCTGAGGCTACAACTGCTTCACAGACCTGTGGATGGCAACAGAGGCAGGTGAGGGAAATGCTGCTGTCTTGGACACAGCACAGTGAGTATCCTGGCACAGAACAAAAGAGTTGTTTTTCTGCCCAAGCAGGGGAAGAGCATGGGAGAGGGAGCGAAATGTATGCCAATTCGGTACTGCCGCTGAATTTAAATGGATGGCAGGGGGACATGTGGTGCTTTTTCCCTTTGGAAGAAGAGCAGCAGGGATACCATAATATGGGTTCCCCCTTGTTGCCAGTGTTTTCTCTACATCTAGCATTGGTTTTTACCTGCTCAAAGATGAGCTGCGCAGGAAGAGACAGTTAACGAATCAGCAGAAGCCACAGTACCTGCTGAATGTGGCTTTGAGGGATCTTTTCCTCTCCAAAGTGCTTGTTCACAAATATCAGTGCATAGAGATAGCCCATGCGCCCGTACAGCAGTTCATCTGGCACTCGTGGGTCAAGCTTGTGTAGATGGAGCAAGCTACAAAGAAAAAATCACATGGGGGAAATCAGAGGATACTCAAAGCTGTTTAACCGAGCAGTGGGACTGGAGCTCAAAACCATGGTTTGTTCCTTCGTGCTGCCCACGCCCTGGGAGGTGTCAGGCCAGTCTCTGGGTGTCAGCCTTCCAGCCACGCAAGGTGTGGGAATCTCTCCTTCCCCTCTGCTTTTTGTTTGGCTTATTGCTGTAGTCTGCTCAGCTCTTTACAACACAGTCATTCTACGCGCTTGCTTTTTACTGGGAAAGCTACTTGTGGGGAAACCTGGGCTACAGGAAGCAGCATAAAGTTGCTGCCTGTTCAGGAAAGGCTACTCCAATTCAGCAAGGAAAGCCTGCCCACCATTACCTTCCTGGGATGCTGTTGGCAAGGCAGACCTTCTGCCAAAAAAAAAAAAGACCATTTTCAAACTGAACTGGTATCTGTTTAATTTGGCTGCTCAAGGAATGCTGGAAAGTCAAACTAGTGCTGATGGTATGTGGAAAAATCTTACCCCTTACACTCAGAAGTCCTGAAAGAAAAGCCCCTTTCTCTCCATGCCTGCAAGTGGCCAGGGCTACGCTGCCAGTGGAGAAGGAGGTGCCCCCATGAGCTAAAAATCTAGGTAAGAGGTGGGGAGGAGCAGCTGGAAATGTTAACATCAAGCCTCTGTGGCATATGTAAGAAATCTTCTCCAGGGAGAGCTGAACAGTCCGTGAGGACAGCTCAGCACAGCGCGAGTGCTGTGGGCTGTCTGTGGAGCAGCTCCACGCTAAGCACAGCTTGGCTGGCACCACGCTGCAGCCGACAAGCGCGGAGTGAGAGGTCTGCAAGAGTGAGATATCTTCTTTGCCGTTTTTCTATCATCATGTTGCAAAGCTGGTGATATTCCTGTAGTGCTAACAGAGACTGACAGCTCTTCACACTGGTGCTTTGTAGCAAAATTCACTCTTGATGCAATTTTTCCTTTGTTTTGCCTCTCATCACAATTCCAGCAAGGCTGGATGTCCTTCCCTGTCAGAGCAGCAGGCAGGGATGTGACTGGTTTTGGCTTTTTCTGTTCGCCCCGAGACAGCAACCTGAAAAACACCATCCCTTTTAAAACACCAGCATAAAGTGGCTTCGAGGCTGTTCCTTCAGCTGCTTCCTCCTGTGGCTGCAACAGGGAGAAGACTAAGAAACCAGCCAGGAGAGCTGCTTGTGTGCAGGGCTTCTCTGTCACAGCAGTGTGACGAGCAGAAAAGGTTCCTTGGCAGCCTTTGCTCCTGGGCAGAACAATGTGTTGCAAAGGAAAGAAGCAACCGAATGTCCAGAGTATCCTGGGAGCAGAGAGAGGGTGCTGGGCTGTGACTCTTCAGGGCAGGAAACCTTCCCTCGGCACTGGATTCAAAGTGAGCAGGGATATTGAAGGAGAAAGCAGTGTCTCAGGGCAGACTGGCCCCATCTCCTCATTTACCCCTTGAGATGTGTATTGCTCCACGGCGGAGATTTCTCAAAGATCAAACCCAAGAGACAGACTTTACGTCCAGGACGAGGAGTAAGCAGGGGTCCCTCTCTCAGCTGCGTGGCTGAAAGGAAAGCCCTGCTGCCTCCTCATGTCTCCTGTCCCCGCGTCCAAGGCAGATGAAGAGAAGGGTTTCCAAGGAGGAAACCAGTGTTCCCACAGATGGACTCTGCCCAGCAGCAGGCTGGTCAGAAGAGATACTGCCTGGTGATCTGTTCAGCTCTGAAGTGTAAGGGAAATGTCAGGCGCAATAGAAGGAATGGATGGCTGGATAAACAGTAATAGCCACAGTAGGGATTTTGCAAGGTCTGGATGCGAAATCTTCTTTCCGTGGGGAAATCTGCAGCAGCTGGAGCTGCTATTCTTGCTCTTTATGCATTGCTGCTTCTATCCCTAGCTGCTTTCCCAGCCAGGATCATCGGGGGGGGGGAAGCCTGCCAGTGGTTTCTTGTTGTTTTTGAAACGTGGGGCGCGCTGCATGGCATGCCTGCAGCAAGAGACGCCCGGGATGCTGCTGAACTGACTGCATGCAGAATGCATCTCTCGGGTTCGAGGTGGGCACATCCAGGTGCCTGAAATGAAGAGCTGCTCCTGCTCACGTAGCAGCTATTGCCTCAACTGTCAAAAACCAGTAGTTTCTGGACAGAGGGAAAGCGAGGCAGCTGTAGTGCAAGATGAGATTTTTGATGCCACTGGCTCTAAAAGCAAACCTTTGGCCTTCTGAACTGGTGGGAGATGGCAGGGAAAAGAGGACTTCTGGAAAATGGCTCAGATTTTCACAGGCTGTTGGAAAACAGGTTGCCCTGAAACGTTAGTCTCTCCAGAGCATAAAAGCACATTTGTTGGTCATGAACTCATTTAGGCAAGAGCAAGGAGCTAAGAAAAAGCAACCTCTTGTCTCTTCCACTGCAGGTAAAACCTGGCTGACGGATTCCCTCCTTGGGCTCTGTAAAGATAAGGTGCTTTAAAAGACAGAGAAAAAACGGAGAGAGGCTCTCCTTCTCCACAGCTGTAACAGGAGTGCACTTTCTATGCCCTTGCACTGCATAATGGCAACTGTTCGTCCTGTAACTAAGCAGCATACTCAAAACCCACTTAAGAGATTCGATTAAGGGAGCTATTTCTCACAGAAATACCTCCTTTTTAAAGGCAGCACGGTCAGGCTAACTGCTCTGGGAATTAGTGACAGAATAAGGACAGTATAACTGTTCCTCTGAGAAAGCCACATTTCTCTTTTTTCCTCCTCTCAGACGTATGAAGGAACCAATTTCCAAGGCTCTGCCTTTATTATGCCATTAGATGGCAGTGCAGAATTAATCACGAGTTTCCATTCTGCCACAAAACTGTAGGCAGAACAGGAGGGATACGGGGAGGGGAGAGCTACAGCAAAGGAAACATGAATTAGGGATTTTTCACAACTTGGGGCTTATGAGTTAACCATAACTGGCCAGTACTGTTCGACAGATTAGTTCTCTTTTTGTTAGCAAATATAGTAATAATAGTGAGATTCAGGACTTTGACACAGTACTGAGCAAAACCTAAACCACAGATTATTTCAAGAGTGAAGAAGAGAGTTCTGTCCTCAGACTGGCCGTTCCCACATAAACCAGAAGCTATTCTTAGTTAAGGGAGTGGGAATTTGGTATGCAAACCATAGGGACACCTCTGATTCCCACCCATGGCTTTTTAAATTGGTATTATGCATCACTTGCTCGTGGCTGCTCAAGGGCACTCAGTGTTGTTCTGGAGTGGCAGGGGGTTTGCCTCGGTTTTGTGCTGACCACATGTAAATGGAAACTCTTTACAGGGCTGTTTCTCACCTTCTCAAAACTGACCTCCCTAAGCAAGAAAAGCTTGCAACTGCATCTCTTTAACTTTCTTCCTTCCTCTGCCACATGCTGATCTGACTGTAGGACTGCTTGTTTGTCCTTGTCTTGTCTTAAGTACCCCAAAAAAACCCATTTGAAAACAGTTGAGGAAAGGCAGGAAACAGAAAGAAATGAATCACAGCCAGCTGCATTCAGCAATTGAAAGGGATGCTGTCAATCTTGGGTTTAAGTCAAAGTCAACTAACAAACAGCAAGTGGAAGTGAGTGACAAAATTAATCTAATAATCCTGCCACATTTCTCCTTTTCATCAAAATGGCTGTAAAGCTACATTTAAGGGTTATGAGAAAGTACTAAACCTCACTTTCTGAGTTTTTTTAATTTTGGCATATTTTTTCTTCCTGTGTTTATCAGAATTATTTTTAAGATGGTAATACCAGCTGAACAACACCCTTGCTCCCCAGCCTGCAGGCTGCCAGGCACACATGTTTACCTTTAAGCTAGCTCTTTCCCCAGGGCAGAACAAGTTTGCTAAATTACTGCATCCTCTCTCACGTAAGACTGCAACAAAACGTATTCGGGCTTGGCGGAGAGTGCCTGGTACAAGGCCAGACCAGCTCTACCAGCAAGAGGATTGTTAGGAAAGAGCTGTAACCAAGCGTGTTACCGAGTGATGCAGTCATCTGCCTGCTTGTGGTTCTGCAGTTTGTGGTAGATGACAGCAGCCACTGCCAGGGGCCCGGCGTCTCCACACAAGAAAGTGATGGATCGTCTCGTCAGGCAGCTCAGGCTCTTCTTCATGTACTCGTGGGCCACCTGAAGGTAGGCTGGGTCTCCATACACATCATACAGGTGCAAATACAGCAAAGCAATGCCTGCAAAAGGAACGTAAAGCTTGCACTCACCATAAAAGTTTACCCTTTCCACTATGTGCCTTGGCTGTTTTAACGAGCCTAAAAGCCTGGTGCTCAGCCTCATCTAGGGCATAAGCCTTCTAGCCAGGCTTCACAGGCACATCTGGAGGCACAACCCACAGCTGCAGCATCCACAGCTTCTCTTCCTGCTTTGTGACCTCCTTGTACCTGGTGCTGCTCACGAGTGGACTGCAGGTCAAGATAAATGGCAGTGTCTGACCCAGGAGGTCCTGGAGGACAGCAGAGCTCCTGACACACGAGTTAAATACAATTTTAGTAGCGAGGAGCAAAAGATGAGACCTAGACAAATCCACCTACATCTATCATCTGTACCTGGGACTGTTGCTAAACAGTGGAGGAAAAAAAAAAAATCATCTTTGGGCAAGATGGTACTTGTGGCAGAGCAGTGCTGCGTTGTTGCCCTATCTCAATTATGTTTTTCCATGCCAGGAGGTAAAGGGCTGGGTCACTTAGCTTGGATTGGATTTTTAAAAAAAAGTGACACAGCATCAGCACTGAGAAGCAGCACCTTAAGACATCCTACTCGGCCATTTTGTGTGGTTTTTTTTTTTAACTTCCCTCCCACTTGGAAGCACCACCAAGGTTGTTGATGTCCAGCTCCCTGGACATCATCTCCTGCTGCTAAACAGGTCCCAAGCCCTACACCAAGGACTGGTCTATCCTAGAAAAGAAAGGGGCTGCCCAACTCTTCTCTGCAGGACATCACTCATGAGATCAGCCCTTGTCTGAAACATTAACAGCTACCTGGAATGCTGGAAAAGGCTTCATGGTCCTCCTTGGAAGTTTTCAATGGGATGGCCAGCTACAGAAAGAACTCCGCTACTAAGAAGTCACATCAATTGCTGTCCTTTGCCTTCATCTGCCCTGTCTTCACCCAGCTCTTGAAGCTTTTAGTAGGTAACTGAGGAGTCCTCCAACTATTTCGGAGAGGTCTGCCACATTTGAACCATCCTCTGATCTGGAAGGCATCCTCAAACATGCACTGAAGAAAGCTACTGGCCTACATCACTTTGAGAAAAGCTTAGTTCTCCCCTGACCAGTAACCGCTTCAGGTCCTGCATTTAAGCCTAAATTAATAGAGCCAACCTCTGCAGATTTTGATGTGGTAAGGTAAGGGGGGGCAAGCATACTGCAAAATTACTTCCCATGGCACTGAGGACAATTTTAAATTTAGATCATTTCCTCATTTTGCATGGGTAATCTCCAAAGCTTTGTGCTACAGACAATTCAATTCCACATGTATATTAGGGGCAAATTTCCCTTTC